ATGTGGGGGGGGGGGGGGGGGTGGAACGACCAGGGGCGGCGATCAGTCCGGGTGCCAAGACACGTTAGGGTCGAAAACACGACGTAGAATGTATTTTTTATTTTATTTTATCTAGAGCCCATACCCTTGGACCCGCAGCCACTACCTGCGCTAAAGCACTGTTGCTTCGACCGGCGGCAGCGTAGCGCTTCCATTACTAGTTGGATGCTCGACACAAGGAGGGCTCGCGGGGCCAGAGCGATGTGCCGGGGACACTGCCAGTTGATTACCTCACGCATTTTGCGAGCTGACTGGGCAGTTTTTGGTAGCCGACCAAGGCAGGTATCTGGAAATAGAACTGAGACATGGGAGACGCCCAGCTCATGGAATTTCCAATAGCTGACAGCAGCGACTTGCGCCCACGTCCATACCAGATCCGACAACATCAAATCATTGGAGCGGGACCAAACGACAAGGCAAGGTCAAGGGCACCTGGCAGTGTTAGAGCTCAGAACAGAACATTAGGTACGTGCGCAGCGGGCTGGGGAGCGACAGTCAGACAGGGAGCCAAAAATGGGACGATCAAAAGGTGCGAAAGCGATTCCCAGGTACCATTGTCACGCCGCGCCAGTCTGCATCACGCTTGGGGTCTTGGATGCCGACACAAAAAGGGGTAGGGTGTGGCCCGACCGTGGATCGATAGACAGGCCAAATGGAAGGAAAAATTGATGAGGCTCGAAACAAAAGAGGGTCTCTCGAGCGGGTAGGTTGCAGGTGGTGTGGGCCGTCGCAGCGAGCGGCATTTGGATTTTGGATATTGGTCATTGGTCATCGGTGGCAAACCTACGCCTTTCCGTCGTGCCACGTTGGTTGTCGGCTTAGGCCGGGAATAGGGAAGGCCATTCTTTTGTTTCTGCCAGCGCCATCCTCTCCTCGGTTTAGTCCGCGTATATCAAGCAAAATCTGGACAGCCAGGCCTTCTGTGCTGACCGTCTCCCGCTCCCCAGCATGTGCTTCTCAACAACATCGAGGGCCCTGCCCGGACAATGTTCTGCCGAGCGCAGGATCCGCAGATTGCTGGTGACAAGCAGCAACAGGCCGGCTAGGCAACAGCCACAATAATTGGGGTCTGGCTGTTGTCCAACATAGAGCCCGCCCTAGGTGCGGACACAGCGGAGCTGAGGACGTCCATAATGATCGACCCGTTGACCGGGGGCAGATGTGGGGAATGGTGCGATTTTTCGATCCCGACCTTGAGTGCCAAACGGCGGCATCATGTTCCCAGCACAATGTCCCCTTTCAGGTGAAGTTTCCCATCGCCCGTCGCCGCCGGGCATGGCGGGGGTGGCGCTGTCCATTGGCCCACCACTGCGAGCGAGCGAGAGCGGAGCAAGCCAGCGCCCCGAGCCCGCGGCTGGGATGGCGGCCCAGGACTGACCTTACCCCTGACGGGGGCAAATGTCAAACCAAGGCTCCACTCTTTGTGAGAGCCATGGCAATTCGATTGGCTGGCGGCAACGGAGCTTTGTGTCAGAACCCCTTGATCGAAACCATCTGTAACTGATCGGGAGATCCTGTCCAGTCGTTGCTTTCGCGGAAGGGTGGGCAGCGCGCTTTCGAGCCCTGGGGCTCCTATCATTCCTTCGCTTGGCCCATTACTAGCACTCCCACCTGGCGATAGGTCAACGACCGTGTCACCCTCGCCCACCGTATGATGACGGCGCTTTTACACACGCGCTGCTTTTCATCTGAACAGACGTTCTCGTCCTTTGCCACCATTGCATCCCCACCCCATATTTTCCAGCCTTACGGCACAAGGCGCGATTGGTTCATGGCACGCTTCAGGAGGATCAAAAGATGGCCCAACCTATTGCGGATTTGACGCCCCCCACACTCACACCGCCCACCATGCAAGACACTCGACTCCAGTTGCCCCTTTCTCACCCACGCACCAGCCGGACAATGCTGGCTTGCAAGGTGTGGCCATCCGCCCATTCTGCTGCGACGAGCTGGGTTTGGCACACCATCCCCATCATCCTTGGCCGTGGTCCGGAGTGATCGCCGCGGCGCGTTCGCCAAGCAGCCAAACTTCCAAATCTAGGCCGTCGGCGCGGCTTGTCTTGCAACCCACGAGGAAGCCGGCACAAGGCTGGTAGAGCGTTGCACTGGACCGTTGGAGAACGTCACCGCGCCAATAAGGGTGTGCTGGTGAGTGCAAGGGGCGCGCGCTTGGCCTGTGTGCCGGATTCAACCTACCGACCAGCCGCACCCTCCTTATGTCTTCCTTCGGTTGACCCGTCAGTGATATCATTCGCCGCTACATCTGCTCAATAGCCGCCGGGCAGCACACCTGACACAAATCCATCACAAAAGCGTACGGAGATAGGATTCTTTTTCAACATCAATCGCAGCACCAATTCGAATCCGCCCACACGCGTTTTGATCGATTGGCTAGTGCATACCCCCGGCCCCTGCCCTCGCTTCACGAGTGACCTCCCCACTGTAGATTATTTAACCCTCACACCTCCGTAATCCAGCATGCTTGCCGCTAGCCAACTCGAAGCCCGCTCCGGCATGAAATTACAAAGCAAGCGTTTCGCAAGAAGCCCCTCTCCAGCAGAGGGCAAACCACCCAGTGCTCCCTTCCTCCGCACACCCGCAAGGCCCGACCCTGTCACGGCATTGAACTGTACTCCCGCACCCTCCTTTATTTTCTTATTATTTTCTTATTCATCCGTCGGCCACTCACGGCGTCTGCTGCTCCTCCACAACCCAAGGCAAGAGGCAAGACTCAATCTCTATTCCCACCTGTGCCCGCAGTCTAAGTGTTCAAGAAAGCCCTGCCAACCTTCTCCCCAAAACAACACTGTCCGACCAGCCGCCAACCGACCCATCTGGCGCCCGCGGGCGCCCGATTCAACAGGGGCCCCCCGATGGCTGCATTATGCACCCGCTGCCCGTGCTCTGATGGCCCCGTTCCGATAGCTGACCGCCGACAGCCTTTGGAGCAAAAAAAAAAAAAAACAGCCGGTGGCGATACTTCATAGCCCACCCGTTTATTTTGTGGAGCACAAACCGGAGTTGCCAGGCCTCACCCAGGGCTTGGGTATGCGCGGGGCCCCATCTACGAGTTGTTCGGGTGTGAAACATGCACACGCCAGCTGAATTCAGGCATTTCCTCTGCGTGCTGCAACGACCGCTGTTTGTTCTGGAAGAAACCGGCCTGTCTCCGGACCGGCCCTCCTTTCGTCCCGTTATATCTCGCCTTGGCGACTCAGGATGCCACGCACGTTTGTTTATAGAGGGAACACCCCCTAGTGGCGCCGGGGCCTGGTCAGTGCCATGTCACTGATCTCCATCCGATATCTTGTGACTTTCACGATTCGACTCTTAAGTCTTGCCTTTCTAGGTATGGGGTCTTGTGTTGTCGAATAGCCGCTTATGTGTGTGCTGTATAGATTTCAAGTCTGCAAGCGACTGGAATCTGGAGCGAGTATACATGCCCTCGGATCTGCTGCCGATAAACTCAAGATAATGATGGCGCGCGAACAGAGTGCGACGCTGCTGCAGATCGGCTATGCATCTAGCAGATAGGCGCATTTGCCGCTTATCATGTAATGTATTTAAATGCGAGTACGATTAAGTTCCTTACCCATGCTCAGGATGTCGTCCTGATTCCCCTGCCATTTCTGGGAGCTATGGGATTCCGAAGATATCTCGGTCCGCCTCCTGGTGCAGAAGATACCGTAGTGCGGAACATGGCATGGACATTGAGTTCTCGTCTTGATTCGAGCAAAGTTGCGGGAGAGCGTAATGCAGGAAAGCGGCCTTCTGCCATGGGATTGTTATCAAATACATCTTCCAGTCAATGACCTTTGCTTTGGAATAACCTCCCGGCATGGAGCGCTTTTCAGAACCGCCCAAATATAAAACCCCAGTACCAGCCAGATATGCAGGAACAGCGGGATGCGACGCACACCGTCCGCTGCGGTGGGATCCGACCAAGCCACCGACGTTTGATCACTGTAATCTGTCGCCAGCTTCCCAAAGTTCACGCCAATACTACTGGTATGGGTGAAAATCTACCAGTTACATATTTAAGTCCGAGAGGATGTTGTTTCTGCCCTTGGCCGACTATTCAAATTTAGGCACGACTTGATGCTACCGTGATGCTCAGTTAGTCAAGAACTAACTGGAAATTGGAGTCGACGGCCCATTTGAGACGAACCACCGCACCTCATGCCTATGCAAATCTCACACCCTATCTGTCGCATATGGACACCAGTCTCCTATTGACCAACAGCACAGCAGAGTTCCTGTCGGGGCCTCACGTGACGGGATTCCCCTTTGCTTCGGTTTGCCTCGGCAGCGGTCTGTCTCCCCTCAATTGTGGGTCCCATTCGGCTCAGGTCCAGGCGGTGTCGGCGATTTCGGAGGCCGATTTCTTTTACTCGGCCGTCCTCCAGGAGCGCAAACCAGAAGTTGCCCGCTGTCCCAAAGATGTCACGTCTCCTGAGTAGAAAATTGGCCGGGTTTTCGACTGGAGCTTGTCTCCGTCGGAGCTCGCGGTGCTACTCGTCTGCGAAGACGGTCCAGTTCGACTGGCAAGACCCCCTGGCCTCCAAATCACTGTTTACCGACGAGGAAATCGCCATATCCGAGACAGCAGAGCGGTACTGCCAGGAGCGCCTTGCGCCGAGGGTTTTGCGTATGTAGCCCGACCCGCGTCGTCTAGGAAATTCCTACCAAGAAACCCACCGCTGATGCCTTGTGGGCACCATCAACAGAGGCATACCGCGATGAGCACTACGACAAGTCCATCCTGGCCGAGATGGGCGAGCTCGGCCTCCTCGGTGCAACCATAACGGGATATGGCTGCGCAGGTGTCTCGACAGTGGCGAGCGGACTCATTACACGAGCGGTCGAGCGGGTGGACAGCGGATATCGCAGCGGAATGAGCGTCCAGTCGAGTTTGGTCATGGGCGGTATCAATGACTGGGGTAGCCCCGAACAAAAGGAGCGCTTCCTACTCGGGATGGCCAAGGGTCAGGTGTTGGGAGCTTTTGGCCTCACCGAGCCGAATCACGGAAGCGACCCGGCGTCGATGGAGACGGTGGCGCGGCCTCACCCGACGAAGAAGGGCTACTACAGCCTCAGCGGCTCCAAAACATGGATCACAAACAGCCCCATTGCCGATGTTCTGTTGGTATGGGCTAAGACGGCAGGCGAGGACAACAAGATCAGGGGATTCCTAGTCGAGCGCGACCAGTGTCCGCCTGGGACTCTGGAAACGCCGGTGATCAAGAACAAGACGGGGCTGCGGGCGAGCATCACGGGTATGATACACCTCGACAATTGCCCCGTGCCCGAAGCCAACATGCTGCCGCTGGTGGCGGGGCTCAAGGGCCCCTTCACGTGTCTCAACTCGGCGCGCCTCGGCATCGCGCTGGGTGTCATGGGCGCGCTGGAGGACAGCCTAGCGCGGGCGCGGGCGTACGCGCTCGAGAGGCAGCAGTTCGCGCGACCGCTCGGGTCGTTCCAGCTGGTGCAGAAGAAGCTCGCCGACGCGGCGACGGACGCGGCGTACGGCACGCTGGCGGCGGTGCAGGTCGCGCGACTCAAGGAGGCAGGCGCCGCGAGCCCGGACATGATCAGCATGGTCAAGCGCGAGAACTGCGACCGGGCGCTGCGCAACGCGCGAGCCCTGCAGGAGGTGTTTGGCGGCAACGCCGTCAGCGACGAGTACCACATCGGCAGGCATGTCGCTAACCTCTACGTGACGCAAACGTACGAGGGCCAGAGCGATATTCACAGTAAGCAGCACCTCCCGTCCACCCCAGCTCGGCGGAGCACACTCATATTAACCTGCGCGACACTCCCTCTGTAGGTCTGATACTTGGCCGAGCTATTACCGGCATCCAGGCTTTTGTGTGACCTAGATCCCCGTAGACTTTGTTGTAAGGTCTAATAATAAAGGCCTGTGCCCCGTTGAAGTGTCAGCCGAACAAACAAACGTCGGGCACACGAGCCATCTCTGCTCCCAACCGCCGCCACAGTGGCATGGGTCCGCTGTAGACATGGCAGGCTGACACACTGGGCGACTGCAAGAGGCTGCTGCATTACTTGCATCAAAATATTCTAGCCCCTAGACAATCCGGGCCGCGGACCAGAACCTTGCTTCTCATGCGAGTGATATTGGGCCGACATCAATATCAGCGGTTGCAGCCTTGGGCGGCTGGGCAGTGTGGCTGCTCAAGTGTCAGGACATCGCAGCCCCCCCAACTCTGCCTAAGTATTGTTTGTCGATTTCCAGTGCAGCCAACCGAGCGAGTCATCCCTACCTCATGATGAACATGCAGCAGCGCTTCCACAGCCACCAACCGACCGCCGAGGCTCGGGGCAAGCGGGCAAGCGGGCCAAATGCACCCACCGGCTTTGCCGCCGCACTATAGCTGTCGGTTCTCGTAGGCTAACTTTGAATGTCCAGCAAGGAGACTCTTGGGGTAACTGATTCGTCATCAGAAAATCGCCCATGTGTCGGGATTTCACGAGCATTGTCAGCAGCAGCAATCATAACAAAAGATCTATGTCGTGGTGGCGAAGGCTGTGTCAGGCCAAAAGGTGATGACTGTCGTTCTGGAGCCGTTGAGAAATTGCTGTGGCCGTCCATCCCGGCCACTGGAAGCTTCACCCGCCCCCTCGCCTGCAGTGGCTATGCGCGCGGCGGTCGCGGAGACCCAATAATGGAGCTTCTTCCCTGAGACCCCATGGGCAGGTGAATGGATGTCAGCCGAGGAGGTGGCGGTGCTGTACTGTCTGGTTGGCCGCTGGTTGCAGGTTCCCAAGGTGCAAAGAAGTTAGGCGCGAATGCAGCTGCATCCGGCCTCTTTGCGAACAGCCTGCTACGTGAATGAGGCGCCCACGCTGGCGCCGCCGCCCAAAACCTGGCCACTGGCGGCGGTGCACAGACCATACATGGTGCCACCGTGCCAGGCGGACCCCCGCCCCACCTCCCTCGCTGTCCGCTCTCTCAAAACCTTCAAGCCTCTGGTGCCGACCCCAAACCATCCTCCACCACTCGACACTCAACCCTCGCATCTGCAACCCGACAAACACCATAGTCACCGCCTCTCGACCGCACACGTTACGATCGTCGATTTATTCTTTCTCTGTTCTGCGCGCGATATAGTAGGTTTTCCGCCTCCTGTCTCGCTGTCTGCCTACGGTCCGAGACCGCTCCGGGCTTGGGTCAATCCGCCATCCTCGTGCCTGTGCCTGTCTAGGCCCTGTGCTTGTTCCCTCCTACCGACCAACCGATTGTTTGCTTACCTATCTGGCCTCCTGCTGACCCGACTTTGTCTACTTCAACTTTCCAGCCCGATTTCTTTTCCTTTTCCCTCACCGTCGATATCTGAAGGGAAAGACCCTTCAGCCATCGCCCACCGCCTGAATCTCCCCAGCAGATTCCACCACACATATCACAATGGCTCTTAAGCGCATCAACAAGGAACTCCAAGACCTCGGCCGGTACGTTGTAGACATCCCCGGCATTCGATCGCCCATCGCCCGTAGATGATTATCTAGGCTTGCGGCGGGGCAGGCTCTTTGGCCGCTCGACATTCCCATCACCGCCACCTGCCTGCCCCACGAGGCCCAACTCAGGATGGCCTCATTCCATTCCCGAAATGAGAGATTCAAAGACTAACAGTCGCATGTTCCACCGACTACAGTGATCCCCCCTCATCATGCTCTGCCGGTCCTGTCGACACAGCATCCGGCAACCCGGACCTGGTATGCGCGACCACAACTTCCAACCCCTCTCTATGACAAACTCCAGTCACAGACATTGTGACTCGGCTGAGGCGTGCAGCACACGGCGCACGAGGCCACGCTTGGTCGTCGCATCGCGATGCCATCGGCCTTTGGGTTAGGGCACTTGACTGACCTTTTTTTTCTCTTCCCCGCCATCTAGTTCCACTGGCAGGCGACGATCATGGGACCGGTACGTTTACTGCTTTTTTCCTGACCCCACCAGCTAGCACATGGTCTTGGCGGACAGTGATGCACCCGAACCCCCACCCTGACTCGGGGCTCGATGCGTGCCAACGCCTGTTGGAATATACGTTTTGGACTCGTCGCGAATCTAACTTTTGCTGTTTTGCGACTCGTCAGAACGACTCACCTTTTGCTGGCGGTGTTTTCTTCCTGGAGATCCGCTTCCCTACCGACTACCCCTTCAAGCCACCGAAGGTCAGCTTCACCACCCGCATCTACCACCCCAACATCAACAGCAATGGCAGCATCTGCCTCGACATTCTGCGAGATCAATGGAGCCCTGCCTTGACCATCTCCAAAGGTACGTGCTACTTTGGTCCTCAGCCCGACGCCGGAGTTGTGCTACCTGGATTCGCCGGACACGCCACCTCGCTCCCTGTCTATGACGACATGATATCTCGATGTTTTGCAGCAGACTACTGACTATCATCAATCACTACGTGCAGTCCTCCTGTCGATCTGTTCGATGCTTACCGACCCCAACCCTGATGACCCCCTGGTCCCGGAGATCGCTCATGTGTACAAGACAGCGAGGGCCCAGTACGAGAACACGGCCCGCGAGTGGACCCGGAAGTACGCTGTTTAATCGTGGCTGTCAATTGGGTGTACGGCTGAACTAGTACTGGTGCGACCTTTCTGAGGGGTGCTGGAGCCGCACTGGCGCGCAACCTCCTGCATACTATCTGGCAAGCATACCGTCAGGAAGCCCGCGATGTGCGCGCGCGCTTTGGGAGGAGGGTGTCACGAAGGAAAGAATGCATGAAACCTCTACATAAGCCCGACTGGGATTGCTTCTCGGTAGACAGACGGCCTTTTCGTTGTGTCGCGTGATATTGATTCCATTCTCCCATAACTCTGAACTTGTCCGTAACGAATCCTTTCATACAATCAATTTCCGCTTGCGACATGTATCCTCCACAAGCATCGTGACTTGGGGTCACCTCATCTGGTACTGTCCCGAGTATGTTGACCTGCAAGCCGTATCCCACGCTACATTTATTCGGGTTGGCACATGGAAATAGTGATAGTGATGAATCAGAAATGGGACCTCCTGAACCCGCGATGGTGGCAACACCGAAACAAATTAGTTATTGGAGTCATGAGTCCAATGATGCTCGCATGATGCCGTCGCACGAGCGGCGCTTTCGAATAACCTTGTATTCTCCTTCACTCACAAAATAAGCAGGCTGAGATCGTTGTGACCTATGATGGTAGCATGACAATAAAAGAGTCCTTGTTTCATTTTATCATGGGGAGTACACTGCGTGTTGATCTAGAAGATATCCACTCCCCCTTCAACTACCAGTATCCGATAATTAGTTCACCTAGTGCTTGCGATTATAGCAGGTTGAGTTTCGGGCGACAGCACTCCCGGTTATCATTAATTCCTTCATACGGCTTTACAAATAATTACGGAAGTAGTGGATCTTTTTCGGGAAACGGATTCCGTGGGGCTTATGGATGAGAAAACTTTTATAACAGGCACGCAATTCAACCCCTTAGCCAATTCGAAGAGTATTTAACACCGAGTATTGCAGCATGTATAATATACAAATATTTGTATGTTAGTAGCCCAACGTGATTAGTGCTAGGGAAGATACCGATAAATGCGCCCTCGGTAATATTCTTTGATATATTCCCTCAGGCATGGATGGAAACTATTCACGGAATCAAGTTTTATTGACGAGTGTTAGAAATCACAGGCCTTTGCGATTCCGCCTCAACTTGGCGGACATTTGTCCTAGGTGAGTGGAATATATACACCATTGGATTTTCTCCCACAAAGTAAGATATTTCATTGTGTGCCCATCAGTGAAGTTAGATGCCGTGTGATAGGAAGTTGTAAAGTACTATTGTCTAGCCGGAATTTACCGCGGGCGGATGTTTTTCAGGCTGCTCTACCAATCAACCGCTGTAGTTGAACAAGATGGCACCATATACGGATAGGTAGGCGACAAACGCGAGCTGCACAGAGGACTGGGTGCTGGGATCTCGACCGAGGGGGTGTGGATTCGGGCAATTGGAAAAAAGTACACGCAACCGCGATTTCGGAGCAACGGCATGTTGTCGACAACAGGATCGCAGAAGTCGAGCCTATCAGGACAAGATGCGTGGGTGCGTGGGTGCGTGGGACCCAAGGGGGGGCGTGCGCTGAGCCGCTCATTGCTTGGCAGATCACGGTTGGTGCCCGATCTGGCGCAGGGCAAGACGCGCGACTGGCCGGGCCAGCAATGCCACCCTAGCCGCAAGGGGGAAAAGAGCGCAGAGAGCGAAACATGGCTGCTCCCGTGGCGAGCCATTGACTAGGCGTGCGGTCGCGCTGTCTCCAGCAAGGGCCGCACACGAATGTATGCGAGCCCCTCCCCCACTGGGGCGGCGGGATGTTGTGGTCGCGCCGTGCAGCGGATGGCGACAAAACCAAAGTGTCCGTTGTCATGTTTGGGGGCCACCCCTACTGACTGGCCGCGACGGCATTTTCCTTGGCTGGATGGTGGTGGGTAGTGGCATTGGCTAACAATGAACAATATAGTATAGTCGGCATTGAGCTTTTGCAACTTGTGTGATGGTGCATACGTGGGCCTCGTCCAGACTTCCCAGGACCAAAGACCCGTGGCACTCCCTCGAATCGAGTAGCGGAAAACCAATCTGCCAAAAGCAGATATCTAAGTTCCTTACACACTCGGCGGCCAAGGAGGAAAGTGAGGTGGTCTAGAGGGCCCCTTGAGCTGGAGGGAAAAAAAGGAGGTGGCCGAAGCAACCCGCGGTTGGCATCTGCCTGGACGACTACGCGCGCCTTCCATGCATGTGCACCCACATCCAAGACAACCCTGTGGCAATGTGGGAGTAGCCGCCGTAAACATCCATGTGTACATGTCCTATGCTATGTGGTGCAATGCGGTTTCCGGTGGGCGATGGGCAAGGAAAATGGCGTGGGGCAGAGGCAGATAACTTGGTCAGCGGAGACGCCAGGTCGAGAGCCGCTGATCTGCTCGCGCTGGCGGCGCAACGAACAGAGTTTTGGAAGAAAAAAAATAACCAGGACTTCAAGACCCGAATCTACAATAACAAGACCGCAATGCGTTCTACGTATAAACTGGCGAGCGTGGGTTGTGGGCGTGAAGGCGGGAGTAGCAGGCAGCCTAGTGCGGATAGCTTCATTCAAGCGACGGGCCCGCGTCCGTTTTGGTACCTGGGCTGGGAAGTGCGCTGGGGCGGGCAATCCGAGACCAAACGGCGAAAAAAACACATGGGAAGAAAGAGCTCAATTACAGCTAGCCGACCATGCCAATTACAAAGGCAACTACATGGGTTTTAAGAGGGAAAATCCTGTGTGCGCACCGAGGTACCCATTTGTCGCATCGCATCCGGATGCACCCGCGACACGCATCACCAGCTTAAACACAACGTGATAATACACATGAGCAGAATACTTGTCCAAGAAAAAAAAGGGGCTCCGAGGGTGGGTTGACGGGTCATGGGACCAAGATGCAAACCATCTAGCGGTGAGTCAATTAACCTCACTTCTACACTACACAATGGAGGTGTGGCATCGAAGAAAGCAGAGTAGTCGGGGACGGGGAGGAAGGGTAGATTCGGGGGGGCATGCTCAAGATCAGGAAAAATGGTAGAGCTGCTGGGCCAAGCGATCTTGATCAGAGTTGTGAGCGGCCAGAGGTACAAAGTGGATAGCATGTTGTTGGGGCCCGGCCAATCACAAAATAAACGCGACCCTTGGGGCTGGGGCCCAAACGCTTTTTTGTTTTATTCCTATTTTGCGCCTGCGACGGTACCGCATCATTTTCCCATTCAACACCTTGGCTGATTTCGTCACTCACCATGTACCACAACAGGCTTAGCGGCTGTTATCCGCACGAGGCGTGGGTGCGTTTGAGTGGCCCGGTGGGTATGGGGTGGGGGGAACCTTGAACCACAGTCAAGGTCCCTTGCCCAGAGCAGAATCGATCGAGGGACCCAAGTGAGGTCGACAGAGATTGAGCCCAAGAGAGGAGCGCGAGGGGGAAAAAGAAGCGCGAACACGGGTTAGAATGCGCGCGCTCGCCCACAATCCGTCGTCTCTGCCTATCGCACCTACGATCTATTTGCCCCTGCGCGCCCATGTCGGCGTCAAGGTCATTCAAGGCACGGGCGATATCTCACATTTCGGATTGTCTTTGTGCTAGAAAAAAAAAAGAGGCCCGACGTGCCTGCTCCCCAGACGCTGCTGCTACGCACGGGGACTGAATCGCGTAAAGTGCAGACGCGCAAAAAAAGACGAAATACATGGGGGGCATGAATGGCGACCGACGAGACGCGCGCTGTCTGGCACCACGAGAGTTGACGATAGCCCGAGAGACGCGGGCGGCCATGTGCAGCGTGACGTGTACCTAGACAGGAGCACGACAATCATGTGCGTGTGTGAATGGTCGTGACGGCGTTCCCCCGGCCTCTCGTAGCCATCCTCGTCGCTTGACGTGGCCGGATTGGAAGCGACGGGGAGAGGGTGCGACTTGGATCCCCCCCGAGACCCAGAGAAGCAAGGGAGCTTTTTCCCATCCGCTCGCTCGACTAACGGCGAGGCGATGGGTGGCGGTGATGGGTGGTGGGGAGAAGCAAGCCAGGACGTTTCAATGCAAGGACAAGAAGAAGGGGCCTTGCCTCGTCCATCAGCCAGCGGGCGCGCGCTGCAGGGAGCTTGGGCCCCGGCCGGCATTTTCCTCAGGCGGCAACGGCCCAAAGGCGCGGGAAGCTATAGATGTTGTGGGCAGCCGGGATGGTGCCTGGCACGAGGAGGAGGAAGGAAAGGAAGGGGGGAGGGGACCTGGACGGGGGAGGTGGGTGGTGGGTATGGTGGTCCGGTGCGTGCAGGTCGTGTGCTGCAGCGGCGCGCTGTGCTTTGGGTGTGCGCCGCCCCTTGGAGTGATTCTACTGATTACGCCGCGACCCCCGCCGTCATATATAAGCACGGGCGCCCACACCACCGCGCCCGCACACGTCCCGACCCTCTCCCCTCTCCCTTCTAGATTCCCTCACACAGCCAACAACTCTTTCAAAAATAATTCAACGCCTGTCAGACTCTTGTCAATCGACTACAGTTCCTCAGAAATCGTTTCTGTAAAATTTCTGTCTCCAAACAGCCCCAGCACCCCAGCAAAAATGCCTCCCAAGAAGACCGAGTCCACCAAGCCCGAGGGCGCTGCTGCCCCCAAGGCCAAGTCGACCAGCTCTCACCCCTCCTACCAGGTATGTTTCCTCAAGACATTTACAAATTTTAGACATTGGATAAGCACTAACAGGACTCTAGGCTATGATTACCGACGCCATTATCAATGTAATTACACGCGTTTCCCTGCACCCGGCGCACGGCGCTGGCGCGAAGGCCTCGAGCGTTCACGGTCGCGGACGGTGACAGTGCTCGGCGCAACCGTCACGACCACGGGACGCACACGAGGCCTTGCTCGCGTGAGAAACATTTTGCTGACCAGTCATTTTCTTGCAATTCAGCTCAAGGACCGTAACGGTTCTAGGTAAGCATCGTCTTCTTGATCCACCACCCCGCACTGGGCAGGTCACGCTTCGCTCGACCCTGGGCGAGTGAAGCTATCCAGAGCTTCGCAGAACACACCCGGCTAACATGCCCTTCACAGCCGCCAATCTCTGAAGAAGTACGTCAAGGCCAACAACAAGCTTGAGGTCACCGACGCCATGTTCGATTCTCTGTTCAACAAGGCGTTGAGGAACGGTGTCGAGAAGGGTGTTTTCCAGCAGCCCAAGGGTAAGTCGCGCTGCCTTGCTTGCACTACTGACAGCAGGTCATTCCAGGAAAGCCGCTGCCTGTCTGCTCGCCGTGACTGCACCCTTTGCCTGTGTGTCCATGCCGCTGACTCGCTCGCTTTCAGGACCTTCTGGTGGTACCAAGCTGGCCAAGAAGGTCCCTGCCCCCAAGAAGGAGGTCGGTGAGAAGCCGAAGAAGGTTGCTGCTCCCAAGAAGGCCGCCGCCCCTAAGAAGGAGGCTGCCCCCAAGGAGAAGAAGGAGACGAAGGAAAAGAAGGCCGCCGCTCCCAAGGAGAAGAAGGAGCCGAAAGAGAAGAAGGCTGCTGTTGCTGCCGCCCCCAAGAAGGAGAAGAAGGAGCCCAAGGAGAAGAAGGCCGCGGCGCCCAAGAAGGTGAGTCACCCGATCCCCATAATCAGCTTCTTCTGCAAGCAGCCGTTAACATCAAATCCACAGCCCGTCGCCGAGAAGGCTCTGACAAAGACCAAGACTGGCCGTGTCACCAAGGCCGCCGCGGCAGCCAAGCCCGCAGCAAAGAAGGCGACGCCCGTAAAGAAGGCCGCGACAACCAAGAAGTCTTCGGCCAAGAAGGCCGCCGCCGAGCCCGCCGCCGCCGCATGAGCAGGTCCACTGTGGATCTGTTCATGACCTTTACACTTTTCAGTCTTCATGCGTTTGCGTGTTTGTGTTGACGGGATTTAACACTGGCGTTCATCCGGCGTGGGGTACACGGTTTTTCTTATTGCTACCATTTTTGGATCATTTTTTTTTCTGGCCTATGATTTTATTAGTTTTTGTTATGGCAATCAGGGCTGGGAGTTATTTTGATGAGGGCTCGGGTATTTCATGATGGTGGGAGGATCATTTTTTTGCTCCTGGGCGAGTCGTGGCGGTCGGTCACAGCGCCGTTTGGGTTGGAGTGCGTGCCGAGCACACGGCATTCCTCATTTTCCCGCCCATGGCATTTTCTATCATTTTTCCTTGGGGAGTGCGCTTCCTTTCCCTATATACCCGCATATTCTTCTTTCTATCTTGCATTATTCCTCGAGAAGCACGCACTTTTACCAGGGAGAACGAGACGGGAGATGGCCAATACGACGGGCACAACAACGGTCAGCACCCCCGGCCGTTGTTCGTGCTAGAGCCCGTGGCTTTGGGAAGAGGAGCGCCGAACAGCGTTTCGGTTTGGTGCGGGTCAACGGGTAGGCCTTGGAGAGGCAACGGGCGGTTTCGGGGCTCGGAAAAAGCTGGGAGGGTCTGTAATTATACCGAACGATATTCCAGCAATTAACCTGTTCATTCATTTTTCGGGGTGCTCTGCTCGCCCTGCTTCCTGTCAGCGAGTGACGGAGCGGATGAGTGTTCGGTCATGGCGGTTTAGTTTTGGTGCGAGACTCGCTGACGCGGCCAAGTTTGGCGGCACTCCCAGCTGACGACCCAAAGATAGGGGGTCCTTCACGTGACGAGAACGTCTTGAATTTAGGTTGGCTTGTTCTCCAGCTTCCATTGCGGATCCCCCGTCCCAGCAGGCCGCTCACCAACAATGACTTGCATGTCACGGCAAGGTCCCCTCAACCTGGGAGGGCCCCTCCCCGCGACACGCACGTGCTCCCTCACCTGGTCTCCTTGTCCGGCAGTTCGGACAGGGTTGTTATGGCGCCCGAGTGAAACGTTGGGAGCATTCTTTGTTCCCCGGTTTGGCACCCGACATCGCACGCGCGCCAACTCCAGTCCCGTGGCTTCCACTTTCTGGGGAAACTTGCCGCCCATATGGCACCCTATCAAGATGCTGGCGGCGGGCGCTGTGTTACACAGGTCTAGCAGTTAGGAGGGGACTGTGTTCATGGGATGGATGGGCACAAAGTCTGGTGTTGCTGCAGCAGACCTCGCCGGCGACGATGGGTGGGTCTAGACTCGGATTGCCTCAGGTTTATTGCGTTTTAACTGCTTTTGCCCCTCTTGCTCCTGCTTTTTTCACTTCGGCCTGGCCCCGACGGGAGAAGAAGAGGTCAAGGTTCTGTATGTGCGTCCGCCCTCACTTTGGCCAGCCCTCTCGTGCGAGAGAGTTTTGTTTTCAAGTTGGAGGGATGGCGTTTGGTGGGCCGTGCACACCACCCGCTAGCTTGTCGAAGATGGCGTGCATTCTGTCGCTCCCAAGTAAAGAGACGGCACGACAGCCCGCCAGTCAGCAAAAGAGCAAAAGGTCAACGGGCTTGTTGACTGGGCTGCCGATTGAAACGCTCTACCAGGCGCCAAATAGCGCCACTGTGTATCTAGCCTGCAGACCTGGTGGGAATTAATTGTGCTATCGCTCCTTATTTCGTGGTGGCTGATGTGCTCCGGGTTGATTGAAGATAGTTGCCCGCATGCTGCAGTTGAGCTCATCAGCAGCTTGGCCATTCCTGGCAGGCACAAGCCGATTCCCCTGTCGAACTGAACTGGACCCGACGGCCGACCCACACTTTCCCAGCGTCCCGCATCCCGCGTCGTCCCGCCCCCATTCTGTGAACTCGAGAGTCTGAAGTCTGGTCCGACAACAGCCCTCCGTCTTGAGCCTAACGGTAGCCGCCCAACGCACTGGCACCTCAAACCTCAAGCTGTCCCGGATCAACGCTCAGCTGGCGGCAATGGGTGCTGCCGCAATTGCTGCTCTGCCGATCGTCCTACCCTGAAGGAAGCACGGCGAGCTCCCCACCCCACCCCCAAACCGCCTCCAGCGCGCCAGAGCGCGCACCACGTACAACGCCCCGTACGCCCCGTACGCCCTGTCTGGAACCTGTGCGCCTACCCGACGCAGCCGCCTCTGCCCTCCGCCGCTGCCGCCATGGCCGGCGACTCCAACAACCCGTTCCGCCGCAAGGGCCCCTCCTTCGCGACCCCTCCCGCCATATCCGCGCCCAACTTCCCTGGCGCCCACACGAGAAGCATCGGCGCCGGCAGCGCCTCCGAAGGGGGCCACTACTTTGACCAGCCCCTCGAACCTGCCTCCTCAGACCAGACCCCGGCGTCTAGCAGCGAGATGTTCAAGCAGCAGCTTCAATCCCTGCCCAAGTCCGCCCAAGCCCCTCCGTCGACCACGTTCCAGAAGCCCAAGCCCGTCAAGAAGGTCCGCGTCCAGTCGCCCCCGCCCTCGTCGCCCGAGTCTGCCCACGACGACGACTTTGAAGCCCGATTTCCCCGGGATCCAGATTACTCGGCGGGGTTCGCCCTGCACCACCCCCCACGGAGCGACAGCGGATCTGACGAGAGCGAGGTTGAGGCGGACGGTGATCCCTTTGTCGGCGGCAGTAGCTCCGTCCCGCCGATACAGCAGACTGGCGATGAGGAGACAGGGATCGGTAGACGTCATGCGGGCGGGCTGGCGGGACGGGAAGGCTGGGACCCTCTTGGCGTGGAACAGCAACAGGCTTCATCGGCCTCATCGGGTCGCACTCCTCCGAACCCTTTCCAGCGCACCCTAGGGGCCCTTGGACAACCATACAAAGACGGAACAGCCGGCGGGGCTGCTTCGGCGTCTCCTGCTGGCAAGGCGCCACTGGACGTCGACGCATTTAGACGCTTGCTGATGACGGGCCAATCAGAGGCGGCTGCGAATTCTCATGGTCATCACTCACACCAACAGTACGGGAACTCGGCACACCCCCCGGCAGCGCACCACCAGGCCGACGCGGCGAGCATTACGGATGCCTCGTCCGTATCGCGGCACTCCATTTCCGACGAGCGCTCCAGTAGCGGCAACCCCACAACAGAGACACCTCGCACATCGCATGAAATATCGGAGCCCGAAGGCGAAGAGGAGCAACACGGCCTGATATCTTCATACGCAATGCAACCACCGCGGACGACTTTGCGCAAGAAACCACCCCCTCCAGTTTCGAGGCATGGGAAATTAATCAAGGTGGAGTTGGGGAAGGACAACCCCAACGGAGCCGCTCAACCAAGACAGGACGACGTCGGGCTGGCATCACCCACAGGCTCTTCAACAGACTTGAACAAGCCGCTCCCGCCCGCGCCGAGACAGCAGGTGGACGATGCCAGGGAGAGTGTTTTCGACCGGGAGGCTGCCGGCAAGATACCAGAGGTCGACGTCGACCCCGATGCCCCGGAGGAAGATATACCAGCACCACGACCCCCGACGCCGCCGAATGCCTCCCACTCCACGACAACGCCAGTGCCGGCCTCACAGCCCCAACTCCAAGAGTCTCTAGTGAGCCGCTTCTCAACGGCGGCCACCAGAAAACCGGCGCCGCCACCCAGGAGACAAGCACACGGGAGGAGTGACAGCAGGGCTACGATAACATCCAGCGCGTCTCTGTCGTCGCCCACGATGCCTACACACCCACCATACTCGCCGATGAGGGAAAATCAGTTGGATGGATTGGACCAGGGATCTGAGCGCAAAGTCTCATCCGAATCCGTCCGCTCCCGATCGTCGAGCATGCGAACCCCTGGGGCAGCGCCGCCCGCCCCGCCGCCCCCTCGCCGACCTAGCAACATTTCGGCTCCGCCACGCCGGTCTTCATATGGGCTTGGGCTGTCGCTTTCACTAGGTGGTCCTCCAGAAACACCATCCCCGGGGGCAGGCCCGGAGATTGGCTTGGGGAGCGGACATGAGGATGAGCGCAGCCCGAAGGCTCCAATCACTCCTCCGACGGCTGGCGCGACCCTCAAGAACAGCAACACCCCCAGTCCTAGCAACTCTATCAGAAGGCCGGCGGTGCTGCTGCCACCGCCGCCGCCCCCGGCAAGACAACGTTCAATGCGCAATGGCGGCGGTCGACCTGCCAGCATAAAGAGCGTCGACTCCACATCCCGCCGGGCGGGATCAAGGGAGAATGGCCCGGCCCCTACTGCAGGGCCGCCTCCGCCTCCTCCGCGTCCGCGGGTTCGTGGTGGTAGCCACACCGACGGTAGCACTGCAGACAGCAGCAGCGGCGCTGTGGGCGTTGGGGAGGGAGACGGTACGCCCGGCGGGGCTGAAAACATACTGGCGGACCTGGACGCGCTGCAGAGAGAGGTCGATGCATTGCGGGGCCAGGTTTCCTGACATGTCGCGGCGTTTCTACGAGGAGCGGGCGAGGTTGGAGAGACATGGCCTGTTCTAGCAGCCACATAATGGTAGGAAAATGGGTGTTATATATTGCTATGGCTTAATCAGGACAACTAGGATGTTGAATGTCTGAATCTGGGCGTCGCGGCTGCAATTTCTTTCATGTGTTCTGGGTGTTGGCTCTGTTAGTATCGACTCGCGATGTAGTATGCTGGCTGGACATGCAATGGATATGAGGTGCTTGATTACGGGTAAATGGATAGCAAAGCTATGCTGAGCAGATTAAGACGGGATGGGCATAGTTGCGAAACTGGGTATTAGCAGCTAGGAAGGAGAGGTTTTGCGAGTATGTGTTTCGTAGCTGTGATACAGCAACTCGGGCCCCGTCTTGCTCAAGGCCAGCGATAGCTCGCAGATGCCACCGTATCACCGACCGGCAGTCGGCTGAAACACGGCAGGGGATATCCGCGAGGGGACATCCGGGTTCAGACGATGCCGAACTGAGGCAGGGCGACCGACCACTCCAAAAAAAAAAAGCATAATTGAGAGTGTCGTACTATGGTGGCAAAGTCTCGATGCGCGGGACGAGGGGCCTAAATGGTTAACTCGTGCGGGTTGGGTTTATTGAAGTAGGCAGGCACTCCGGCCCGCGTTCTTGTCGTCTACTCGGTATCTTCACCTCCTTTGTCCACCTTGAGTGGGCCAAGCACACTTGTATACAAATCTCGTGCCGGGACGTGAGCATGCGGGCCCCGTGGCTCGTCTTCATGTGGCCGCTGGTCGGCCTGGCCATCTGGAACCCGAACCGACTCCCGCCGTCGCTGCGGGAGCGCACGGTGGCGCCTCCCCCGGCGCAGGTCGGCCCCGAAGCGGCAAGGGCCGTGTCCAAGCGCGCGGAGCCGCGGTTCCTGACTGACAACACGAGAAGTACGTCTGGCGGACCCCTGGGTTGGGTTGACTTGGACTATAGCTGACGATTTGGTGGCTACTAACCTACCTCTACCTACCTACCTACCTAGAATTCGCCGTCAACGGCACCGGCATCCCCAACGTCGACTTTGACGTCGGCGAGTCCTACGCCGGGCAGCTCCCCGTCGGGAGCGCCAACCCGGGTGCCTCGCTGTTTTTCTGGTTCTTCCCGTCGACGAACCCCAGAGCGGACAGGGAGATTTTGATATGGCTGACTGGTGGCGTGAGTGCTTTTTTTTTTTTTTTTGCCTTGCTGCCAATAAAAGAAGAAGAAAAAGGGAGCCACGCTGACAAGTAGCGCGCCCAAACACAGCCGGGCTGCTCCTCGACGGGCGAGCTCGTGCAGGAGAACGGGCCGTTCCTGTGGCAGCCAGGCACGTTCGCGCCGGTACGCAACCGCTGGAGCTGGCACCGGCTCACAAACGTGGTGTGGATCGACCAGCCCGTGGGCGCGGGCTTCTCGCGCGGCAACGTGACGGCGCGGGACGAAGGGGACGTGGCGCGGCAGCTCATGGGCTTCTGGCGCGGCTTCGTCGACGCCTTCCGCCTCGAGGGCTATAGGGTCTACGTCACGGGCAGCTCCTACTCGGGCATCTACTGCCCCTACGTCGCTGGCGCCATGCTGGACGAGCGGGACCGGCTCAACGCCAACAACAACAACAACAACGCGAGCGGTGGGGGTGTTGGTGCGTCGTCGCCTGGGGAGCGGTACTTTGACGTGCGCGGCATGATGGTTTTCGACGGCTTGTTCTCGACCTTTCGCACGGCCGGCGACGCCGTGACGGCCTCGTTCGTCGACATGTGGGCGCGCGTCTTTGCCTTCAACGACACGTTCCGCCGCGGCCTGGCCGACGCCTCGGACCGGTGCGGCTACACCGCCTACGTGAACAAGTACCTCGTCTTCCCCGCGGCCGGCCGCCAGCCCTCGCAACCGCCGGGAGCAGCCGCCGCCAACGACGGGTCGTGCGACCTGCAGGGGCTGGCCTTTGCGGCCGCGGGCGAGGCGAACCCGTGCTTCAGCGTCTACGGCGTACGCGAGGGCTGCCCGCGCAGGTGGGACCCGCTCGGGTTCGCGGCCAACACCAACGCGGCGCCGCCGCGGCAGTTTGCCGGCGGGCGCGGGCGGGCGTGGCTGGACCTGCCCGAGGTGAAGCGGGCGATCCACGCGCCCGACGACGGGACCGCGTGGGCGTTTTGCGGCGAGCGGCCCGTGTTTGTCGACGACGTGGACCGGTCCGTCGAGGCCGGGCCCGGGTCGCTGCCGGCGCTCCCGGGGGTCATCGACCGCACGCGCAACGTGGTCGTGGGCCACGGCGCCCAGGACTTCATCCTGCCCGTCCAGGGCGCGCTGCTGGCGGTGCAGAACCTGACGTGGGGGGGCCGCATGGGGTTCGAGGCGGCGCCGCGGCGGCCCATGTTTGTGCCGTACCTAGACACCACTACTGCTACTACCGGGCAGACGCAGCAGCAGCGGCAAGGGGAGGCGGTCGCCAGCCCCGCGGGCTACGTGGGCACGGCGCACGAGGAGCGCGGGCTGACGTGGTTCGGCGTCGCGGGCGCGGGCCACTTTCTGGCGCAGGACAGCCCCGGCGCGGCCTTCCGCGCGCTCGAGCGCCTGCTGGGCCGCGTCGACAGCCTGCAGTCGACGGCGCCCTTCACCACGGCCAACAACACGGACGCGGCCGTCTTTTCGGAGCCGCGTGCTCTCGCGCCCGCCACCCAGCC